GAAGGAAGGAGCGGGAGGAGGGGCGAAAGAAAGGCAGACCGAGGGGCGGAGCGAGATGAAGGACAGGAGGCAAAGGGAGAAAAGCAAGTGGGACGACCCACGACAAAACTAGGATGTGACACGCACAACGGCAAGCATTGCACCATAACAAAATCTAAAGTCTGAAACGAAATAAACCAACGGAAAACAAATCTACAACTGTCCAACCTAAACCCTCGAACCGCGCATCTGGCGGCACAGCCAAAAAGACTTCAAATGACATCTGACTGGACCAGCGCAAGGATGGGCAACAAGTATCGAGGCCCAGCTACAGAACTGGGAGGGGCGATAAGGGACGCCCCATACGAGGGGCGCAGGTGAGTCCGGCCCGACCTACGCAGAGCCGAACAACCCACGAGGCGAAACGAGTAGCAACGACCTCTTCTCTGTCCACGCCCACGTCCTCGTCTGCCGGGTGCCCCATCTTCGCCCGTATGGCCGTTTGGTCCTGCGCCTCGTTGCCTGCGTTGGCCTGCGCTTCCAACGCTTCCTTGGCCCCCGTTTGACCCAGGCCCTGCTCGGTCGCCTCCGCCGCACGCTCGCTCATGCCCCCCACCGCCCCCGCGATGCGGATTGCCACCGCGTTCGCCGAACCGCCTGGGCGCGCCCCCAGTGGGCTGCCCGAGTAGGCGATCTCCTCCTCCTTGGTCTTCTCCTTGGCCTCGCAGCCCTTGTCCTCGCAGTGCTTGAACGCTCGGTCCAGCGCCGACTCCAGCTTGCTCATCGGCTTGAACATCATCATGTAGTTCTCGTTGTCGTCGCGGAGGCCCGCCCTCACCTTGACTTCGCGCTGCAGCGTCGGCCGCGCCCTCGGCCCTACCCATGGCCTTGCCCTCGCCCGCGTCGCCCGCGGCTGCCGACAACTTCTCTCGGCCGCTGCGCGCCGCCAGCACCTTGCCCATCGGCTTGAAAATCTGGGCCAACCGCTGCGGCTGCGTCGGGATTGCGTCGACTCGGGGCCTGGCGCTGCTACCGGTGCGCTTTGAGCCTCAACGCCTTCGGCGCAGGCAGCGCATCGGCCATGATGTGTTTGACCTGTGTATCTTTCCCCGTGAAATGTGTTGCGCAATAGGGGTATCGCATTTGTTTCAAGTCATCATCACTTACAAGCATCACCGTCGGATTTGCGCATGATTGGCAAGCCGCAAGCTTGCGGCGGGCAAGCCCGATCCCACCTTTGAACACACACCAGTCCAGCCACACGTCAGCAGGAGGTTCCACAGCAGAGGCAGAAGCGGCGACAGTGAGCACGCGGCGAAAGCTCCGCGGTTCTAAGAAGGTCAGCCACTTCAGTCATGGCTCAGCCAGCTCAGGAGAATCTCCACGCAGTAGAAGACGTCGTCGTGCTTCGAGCTGCTCATGGCCCTCGAAGGGCAGCCACAGGCGTCGCATGCCCTCTTTCGGGGGGGCCCGCATGCCCGTCGGCCCCATTCGGCGTCGCACTCTCAAAAGAGAATATGCCAAAGATGGCAGCGCGCACTGCGCGGGTCGGGTCGTGCGATTCCTCTGCGGGCTCACGAAGCACAGGCCGCAATACTTGACGCCAGAATTCCAGCCGCCCCCTCAGCAGTGCGCTCTCCACTGTGGGAAAGCGGGCCGTCTTCCTGATGTCGTGGTTAGTCTTCTCGCGTAGGTGAGCTGGTGAGTGGAGTAGCCCTCGAACTTTGCGAACTTGCCATGCTTCGAGTCGCGCCAGCCCCCGCATTGACAAGTCCGTCACCTCCAGGCAGCACAGGCTGACTGAGCGTAGCAGGGATTTCCACCGTCTGATCCTCAGCGCGGGGCTGAACCTTCCTTCGACAGCACAGCGTAGTAGTCGGCCATGGGCCGTGCGCGCTGCCTCGATCCCGTGAGTCGCCTCAGTCTGGTCGCTGCCAGTGGTAGCCAGCTGGACGCCAAGGTACTTGACCGTCGGCTGAGGGTTGATGGGGAAGCAATCATCGCCTTGCCGCGCGACGACACCTGTCGCGCGCGCCCCGGTGCGTTTCTCCCTCTCCTTGCTGCCCACCCCCGACGGTGTCAAAAGAAGCTCGACTTCCTTCCCGTTCACATGCACGCCGCCGCGCTCGATCTCGCCGCGGACGACTTCCAAGAAATTCGAGGCGTTGTCAAGCCCGTCAATTGCCGTAAACGCAAGCAGGTCATCTGGGAACTCAGGCTGGTTATGTCCACATGCTCGCAGGCGTCCTCCTCCAGTCCGCCACTGTTCCTGAGGCGCTCGAGCGCGGGGTCGAAGCACACCTTGGTGCACGAGCATTCCATCTCTGATGGTACTTTCGCCAGCTGCGCCACCAACCTGCCGCACGCCGCCGCGAAGAGAGCGGAACTTTCAACTCCTCCTTGACGGCACGCGCTTCAAACTTAAAGTGCAGCGCGGGGGAGGGGGAAGCGGAGAGGAACAGCAGAGAGACCGACGCAGCAGCCGACAACTACGCGATCGCCGCCATGCATGGGCATGTTGAGATTGTTGCGAGATTGAATTTGGAACGGGCTTTCGATGAGGTAGGGATCGTCGATACCGCCCATGTCCGCGGAAACCCCTGCGGGCCTACTCACACGACACATGCGTGCAAACTTTTTCCGTCGCGGCGCGGCAGAGGCGATCCGCTCGCGCGTTCAAGCAGCCTGGGCTACGGCATTGCGAACTGTCCCACATGGAATGGGAGGAAGGAAAGAAGAGAGCCGGCCGCAGCGACACGAGATAGGAACAAGGCGCACTCACGCGGCGAGGCCGCGGGGGGGCGCGCGCGGGGCGGCCAGGCCGCAGGGCAGCCTCTGGCAGCGAGCGCGGGGCGGCGACGCGGGCGCACCCAGGGGAGGAGCCGGCAGCCGCAGCACAGGGCTGGGCCCAGCAAGCGGGAGCGGCGGGCCGCCAAAAAGACGGGCCACGGGCGCCGAGGTGGGGGGGGGGGCAGGAGGCAGGCCGGCTGCGGCGGTTTGGGCTGTGGCCCAGCGCGGCGCAGCGTGGCGGCGGCGAGGCGCGACCGCAAAGCGAGGGGGGCGGGCGAAGAGGCCAGGCGAAGCAGAACGCCGGGGGTGCCGAGCGCCCGGCGGCACACCCACACACACACACACACCAAGCTCGCGCTCCCGAGACCAGAATCCCTCAACGAAATACGCCAAGCTCGCGCTTGCGAGGCCAGAATTCCTCCCAAGTTACGTCAGCTTCGCGTTTCGAATCCAAAATCCTTCGTAAATTACCCCCGTGTCGCGCTCCCGACACCAGATTCCCTCGAAAATTGCACCGTAGTCGCACTCCCGAGGCCAGAATCCCCCGTAAATTGCAACAGAACGGGTTTGCGCTGCCGGGGCCAGAATCCTCTGCAAATTAAGCCAGATTCACACTGCCGAGGCGAGATTCCCGTCTAATTTAGGTCAGTCGCGCGGGGAACGCTCCCCCAAAAAGAAGCGCTCAATAAAAACATCTCAATATGTGCTGCTGAGTCCTATCCGTCCCCGCATGGTCCCAAATGCCTTCAAGACGGCGTCAACGACCGGACACGGCTCTGATATCTGCCATTCTGATAGAGAGGGCCGACGGCAGAGGGCGCAGTCCTTCTGGATAACGCAGGAGCAGCGGCTGCAAGCTAAACCAAGCTGGCACACTGCAAATTACGTAGGTGACGAAACCTGACCACATACGATTTGTGTTGTCGCACTGTGTCGGTGACGACCCGATGTGCACCCACAGCACGACTTGGCACCATTCCTGCAGAACGAGCGGTAGCACCATCAACGCATTCCGCCTGTCGGTTCGAGATCTGCGCATACACAGAACGAGCAAGCAGAGAGACTCTGCCCCTGCCACAGCTAAGGAGACTTCGTAGGACCAGCACATCAACTCATGGAAGAGACTGCGTCTCTGGTCAAACCCTAATCGATGAGTTATGCACGCTTTCGCATGAGAGTTACGGTGAGGCTGCGCTCAGATAGCAGCGGGTTGACTCGAAGCACCGCCAGCTTCAACCGATGCACTGAATTCGCTCACGCGCGAGGCGCAGATGTCGCGGGCACTCGACCCAAAACCCTGCGGAGAGCAGTGCGAATCAAAATGTTGCCAGGTAAACCAGGTTTCCGACGCGAGCGGACCTGCAATAGGTAAGCTCATGCAGTGAGCCGTGGCCTGAAAGAGGGAGATGAGCGCGCCGCGTCTGAATACCCCACGAAGCCCGAACGGCCCAATCGGGGCTAGCGCGCTGCTTCCATTCCTCTTGGCGCCTGCTGAGCACGCCTGGGGCATCCGGGAACACTGTGACACTCTGTATGGGCCACCGCCTCGCGGGCGCTCCCAGAGACCAACAGGGACGTCGTGGCACGTCTTGAGCCTCTCTAGGAACCCTCTTTGCCTTGGCGCCGTCCTACCTAATTTTCGGGCCCTCTTGGGCTGGCGTGGACGCATCCGGTAACCGGCTCGGAGCCGTCTTGAAGGCCCAGCGACCCCTCGTGGGCCTCTTTCGTGAGTTGCTGAAACCTTTTTTGGGCCGTCTTGGGTCCATCGGAAAACCAAGTTGGAGGCATCACGTACCGGAAGGCCGAGCATGTGTTTGACAAAAGCGCAATGTGTAAGCATACTCATCGTTGATGGTTAGTTGCCTGCGGCCTCTCCCTCTCTTGGAGGCCCTGGCGCATCCGAGACGCTCTCGGCACACCTCCACCGTCTCTTCTCAGGGGGCGAAGAACGGTATAAGATAAACTTTTTCGCCGTCGGGGGGGGACGCCTGCCCCCCTGGGCGGCTGCAAAATTTATACCCCCACGGTGCCGCGTAGGGGTATAAACTTTCCAGCCGCCCAAGGACAGGCGCCCCCGACGACGGAAAAGTCTATCAAATACCGTTCTTCGCCCGCTAATCTTCAGCAATCCCGAACCCCCTGGAGCAATCTGGCGATATCTCAACGACCTCTTGGAGCCCTCTTGATCCGTCTTGGGCGCCGCCGCCGGCTCGGCGGCGGACCGGCTTTTGCTGGCTGGCCCCGGCCGTGCTCCAGGCCTCGCCCTGCTTGTGCGGGCCGCACTGGCTCTACTACGCGCGCGCTGCCGGGCTGCGGGGGCAGGTCGGCCGGGAGGACGAAGGAGCAGGCCACCGAGTCCACTCGCAGCGGGGCGGCGGGCCCGACCTCGGTTCCGCTGAGAACGGGTCCCCGGGTAGCCCGACGCTGAATTGCGATGTTCGGTGGCCCAGCTCTTGATCCGTCTTGGGCGCCTCTTGATCACCAGAAGGCCCCACATGGAAATGCGAGGAGCATCCTTCAGGACGGCAAGCGGACCGCTTTCCCCTGTAAAACTCACTGGCCCCATTGCCAAATCCAGACGTGAATCACTCCGAATGCGCCGCCACTCGACAACGAGGCCGCCTCTGATCATAAGTCGATACATTGGCGGCTGGGAAGGCAGAGGGGGCAGGGCTTCTCAGAAGGCTCAAAAGGCCTTCAGCCTTCCGAGAAGCCTTCTGAGAAGACACAGACGGCATCGCAGAGGCGCGAGCGCTTCTGAGAAGCCCCGCCGTCTTCTGAGATGGCTTGCCCCCTCTCGGACGCCTGTGGTTTCTGTGTCATACCTTGGCTCTCCCGTGGCCGTTCGGGAGGAACCGGGCACACCCGGAACGCCCTCGGCGAGGCGAAGCCGCTGGAACGCATCCCGAGGCCGGAAAACCGCGGAGAACCAATGAGAACATCTGAACACGACCGACGAAACCCCTTTGGGCTCGCCGACGGACAAAAGATAGGGCGACGAAATCTATACATATCCACTGCTCCCTGGCCAAGCCCATCCTGAACGCAACAGCGGTGTACACACCACGCCCTCCTGGATTGGCCAGGAGGCCGTGCACACAGCTCGCGGGCCCAGGAAGGGCCCGGTCAGGGGGCGGTGGATATGTATGGATTCGTTTTTACCGTGACGCTTCCCTCATCGAGTCGCCCATGCAATAACATATGACTCAGTCTCTGGAAAATGCATCGATATGACAAATACTCAACGTGATAACTGAAATCAAACTGAATGAGCTCGTGGCTAATTAACAAGTCCCACATGACAGTGACTGCCTTGTCTAAAGCATTGCCCTCGGCGAGGAACGCGGACCGCCTCCGGGAAGGAGGCCCGAGCTAGTCAAGTGTATAGTTTCCGCCACCCAAAAAGAGATCGCTTCGATACCGCGCGCAATTGGGGAAACCAACAAGCACCGATACCGCTAATTACTCCCCAGGCCTGTCCCGGGGTGCGTTCTGACCAAGATTTCGAAGCGAATCCAGCGGTGGCGACGAACGAGGGCCTCCCACGAGGCCCAAAAAGGCGAGGACGAGGGAGGGGTAGAGGTATGGGTACCCTCCCCTTCTCTGAGGATAGACTCCGTCACCCGAAAAGATCCCGCTTCGATACCGCACGCCACGGGCCCACCGGCGGGGCCCGCCGCCCGCTCGGCGGCGGACCGGCTTTTGCTGGCTGGCCCCGGCCGTGCTCCAGACCTCACCCTGCTTGTGCGGGCCGCGCTGGCTCTACCTCTACCACGCGCGCGCTGCCGGGCTGCAAAGCCGTTCGGCAAGGAGAACGAAGGAGCAAGGGGGATCACCAGTGGATTACCCGGTGGGGGCCCGCCGCCCGATCGCGGCGGACCGGCGTTTGCTGACTGGCCCCGGCCGTGCCCCAAGCCTCACCCTGCTTGTGCGGGCCGCGCTGCCTCTACCACGCGCGCGCTGCTGGGCTGCAAAACAGGTCGGCAGGGAGAACGAAGGAGCAGTGGGGATCACCAGTGGGCAAACGGGGCGTTAGTAAACGGGGCGGTAGCTAAGGGGCCTCTTCAAGCGAGAACGGGGTGACAGGGCATTCACCTTGCACTAGTGCGTGATAAATCGGGTCGACAAAAACATCGACACATCGTCATAACTCTGGGCGGTGGGATCTACCACGCACATGTGTGCGGCAAATCAGTTTTTTGAAAACACCATCGAGAACGCACCCTTAGCTGCCGGCCCGTTTACTAACGCCCCGTGAGCAGGGGCTTGGCACCTGGATACCGAAGCTCTGGCTGCCAAACAACGCTGGCGGGTGCAGCAGAAATCGCCCTCGTGGCGTCGCGCGCCGAAACACCGGCCCATTTGGACTGAAGCGGGTCCCCCAGCTGATGCCGATCCCGCCGAAAAGCATGAGACAAAGGACGTGACGAGGAGGGGAGAGAGAGAGAGAGGAGGGAGAATGCCAGGGGGGGACGGGAGAGATGTGGGAGGAGGATGAGGAGGAGGAGGCTCTGTTGCCTCGAGGGCTCACGCCCAGCCCCACAGAGAACGTTCTGGGGAGGAGGCCTCTGGCAATCTTGAGCCACTCGTGCTTGGGAGCGGCTCTACGATGCTCGTGGCGTGCCGGGGCCGTGGCGATGCACGGAGGTTGCAGTGCGCTTCGGGAACACCTTGGGGACGTATCGTGGAAACTCCCTGGGGGTTCCCCAGAGCCTCCCCGAGGTCTCTTGGGTTCTCTTGGGCGCCTGTTCGGGGTCTGGGGGCCGTCTTGGGCGCGATGCTTCTCCCGAACTCTCCCAAGGGGGCTCGATTGGACTGGACCACCTTCAGGCTGTCTGGGCGGGACTTGGGGACGTCTCGAGGCCCTCTTGCGGGGGGTCAGGGGCTGTCTTGCAGGGTTCTCGGGGCCGTCATGGGTCCGCTTGAGCTTGTCCTGGGCGCCCCTGAGGCTCCCTGAAGTCTTCCCGAGGCCGTTTTAGGCCGGAAAGCAACAACTCTTGGATTGCCTATGGTCCGTTCGTGGAAAGGCCAGGCGCTGGTGGCCGCTAGTCTGTGCGAAAGGCAATATGCAAAGCGTCTTGAATCGGTTCCTGGAGGGACCCACTGGGGCCGTCCCAAGGCTGCCTTGGGGCTACGTTATGACCGTAGTCGGCCTTATTGGGAACCACATGGGGCCCGCTTGGGCCGTCTGAGGGCCTGTTGGGTCGTCTTGGGGGGCTCTTAGGCCGTCTGTCGCCCATGGGTCTCTTAGGGCTTGGGGTACTGAGGGCAAGCTTGGGGCCGTCTGGGGCTACCTTGAGGGCCTCCTGTGCCGTCTTCGGGCGATCTCGGGGATCTGTTGGGCCGTCTAGGATATCATCAATACCGAGGTGACGAGAACGGTAAAATCATGATCGAGCCTATGGGCAATCAATGAATTATGCTCTTAGGGCCTCCTGAAGGCTCCCTTGGACCGCTTGCCCTGCGCATTGGGGGATTTGCACAACCTCGGGGGCCACCTTCACCCATCTCGTCCGTCTTGGAAACCATCGTGGAGACCGACTTAGAGGCATCTTGGGCGGAAAAACCAACGGGTACCTGATTGGCGCGGGACTGGCAAGTCGTGCCAAAGGCCACCGGGAACCTATTGGAATAGCTTTGAAACCTTTGAATAACTTGCTCCAGCACCTCTGCGGCAAGAGCACGGGGCGGCAAATCGAAGACGCCGACGGCGAGGCAACGCAGCCCCCTGGAAGCGCATATGTAGCCAAACGTTGGGCCAAATTCTGGCCAAGCTATTGGACTACGTTTGTCCCCCAGCAGTTGAGGAAACCCTCGGGGGACACTCTGACGGTAAGATAAAATGAGGAGGAGAAAAAGGAGAGCCCCAAGAAGCCCCAAGGGGCCCCAAGAGGCCCCCAGGGGGCCCCACTAGGCGCCTAAGAGGCCCCAAGAGGCCCCGAGGCCCCCAACAGGCCCCAAGAGACCCCAAAACGGCCCCCAAACGGCCCCCGAGAGCCGTCCAAACTGCTTCCAACAGGCCCCCGAAACGCCACCCACGAGATCCCAACGAACATCCAATAAGCTTCATACCCACAACCCAGGAACGGCAGCTGGATGGGTCGAAGGCACTTAGATCCGCCGCCCCGCGCTGGCTTGCCACAAGGGTGCCCGGCGTGCTCGATCCTTTCGGTTTGGGTTTGGCTCTTTTTCCCAAAGAAACTCTCCCCTGGGGCTCCGGCCCAGCCCGCCGGCCACCCAGAAGGGACCATATGAGGTGCTTGTAAAGGTTTTTCCTGCTCCAGACGGCTCCAAGATGGCCCAAGCTGGCCTCCAAAACGGCTCAAATGGCCCGAGGTGGTTTCCAAGTTCGCCCAAGATGGTCCAAGATGGCCTCCGCGACGGCCCAGAAAGGTCCAAGATGCCTCCAAGTCGGCCAAAGAAGCCTCCAAGACAACCCAAGAGGCCCCCAAGAGGCCTCCCAGACAGCCCAAGAGGCCAACCGCAGGTCCTCCCGGAAGGCCCGAAGAGGCCAAGATCGTTACATTTTTCACTCAGCTGCAGGTTATGTAGTGAAGTCAAGCCTGGAGTGCACTCGCGGGGGGGGGTTCGTCCACACGCTGCCTTGCGACACGAAGAAACAGCAAGGCAAAACGCACCCCCATTAAAAAGGGCGGTCGTGGGTGAGGAGCAAAGGAGCGGCCATAAAGAAATGGATGTACTCAGAACCGTTGACATTGTCATTATGAAAGTGCCCGCGCAGCCATGACATTTTTCATTCAGCAACAGACTACGTAGCGAAGTCAAGCCTGGAGTTCACTCGCAGGGAGCCTTCGTCCACACGTGCCATGAGACACGCAGAGGCAGCAAGGCAAAACAAACTCCCGGAATCACAGACATCAAAAACTCCAGGGTGGCATGCGTGCTCTGTTTAGTGTGGCTTTAAAAGACTACTTAGACATGCACGCACGGGTCGGGGATAGGGTTGCGCGATCAGCGTCCGGAAACAACCATCGGGGGCCTTGCCTTCAAGGACTCTGCGTGCACATTGCGTTATACTGCAAATGCCTTCGACCCGAGCATCTGCGTCCAAGATCTCTTGAGATGTCAACAACATCACATATCATGAGTCGGGTGGCCCTTCGCCACTCGGTCCCACTCTGACACACATGCGCGTCACGAATTACAACCTTAGAGAGCGAAGCTGCCGTCTCGAAGCTGGGAAGGCGCCAGAGCATCGAGGTCTGGGGATTCTCGATCACACAGACCCTCCCCCAACCTACGGCAGAGAAGAACAACTCGCAAAGAAAAACGGGCAAGACGGTTCCAGATTTGGACCTTCACTCGGTCCGACACTGAGAAATCAGGAACGCCAGAAATGTGCACAATTGTCCTAAGCGTAGGAGGCTGTCCTCTACGGGCTCTTGATAAGGTCGCACACGGGCATCCTATCAAGGCTCCTTTGCATTCGGGCTTCTGGAGGCGAGCGATCACTTTTCTCTGGATATCTCTCCTGGTCAGATCAGAACGGGGTCCGTGGATGACGCCTGTCGAGACACACCGCCCCCTATCTGTATCACGGACCTCGCGAACCTCCCGCTGCCCGAGAAGAGGTCCTCCACGCTCCAGTCACGGGCAGCGCCAGGGCACCGAAGAAACTGTTCTGGCCCGAAGATCCTCTGGAGATGCTTGACGCCAGCGGCGGCGCAGTCTCTGACAGGTCTCGGCAAGCTCTGCCACCTCTCCAGGATCCGCCCTCCTTTCTCGCATCGCGTCACACTGCACATACTCGGCCATCTCCCTCTTTGTTCGAATCTCCCCCAGCGGTCTCAAGCGCCGCCTTCTGGACCATCTCGGCAAAGTCCTCGCGGGCGCACTGCAGCGGCGGGCCCCCCGCCAGGCGCCCTTCCTTCATCTGGCCGAAAAGGCCCCCGGCCCACTGGAGGCGAGGGCGGCCCCCCACTCCGCAGCGACGTCGAAGCGCCCGACCTCGGTTAGGGCGCGGGCCTTGCGCGACCGGGAGACGAGGGCCCGGCGGCGGCCGACGTTGCGAGCTGGCGCCGCCAACCAGCGAGCGCGCAAGGCGCGCCCCTCTCCTGGACGCGCGCAGGCGCCGAGCACGACCTGCAGCTCGAGCGCCGCCTGCCTGGACTTCTCGGTCTGTCCCCTCAACAGCACGGCGCAGAGAGCGGCCCGCGCCTCGAAGGCCCCCGAACGCAGAGAGAAGCCGGGGGCCTCCTTGCCCCATTCCTTGAGAGCACGATGAGCACGAGGCAAACACAAATACCCCATCTCCCCGCCCTCGGGCACGCAGTCCAACCAAGCAGCTATCACCCGGTGGCCCACGCACCCGCCTTCGCCCCCGAAGCATTCTTGTCGAAGAGGTCGCGCAGCATCCGATCGAAGCCCGGGGGGCCCAGGGGGGTCACATCCATCACCTTGGCGTAGTCTAGGATCATCTTCACGGGCTGGGCATAGGTCCCCCTGGCGGCGGGCTTCACCACCCGAATCTCCAAGAAGCTTCTGCCACTCCGCACGGCTAATGTCCAGTCATTGCTCTGGGTGTGTAGACTCTTCTCGGCGCGGCCCTGATTGGCGGTCAGTCTCAGCTCTCTGGTCCTCTTCAGGGTCCGCTCCTCCGCCCCCACAAGTGCCCCAGTCGGCTGCCTCGTCTTGGCATGCCCCCCCAGGTCGGCGGCCAGCGCGGGAAATCTCGCCTTCGCCAACACGCGCCGCACGAGGCCCATGGATCACGGAGTCGGCGCCGGGAGGGGTGAGCCCGGGGGCGGGCCGCGGGGCCTTGCCACTCGAAGTCGGCTCAAACCGACGAGATGGCTCATCAGCGGGATTCAGCTCAGATGGATGCCATCGCGCCCAAACCTTGCAATTGGTGGCCACCAAGAGGGCCGTAAACCGTCTACAACAATGGTTGAGTTTAGCATCGCACGCCCTTCCCTTTGAGAAGGCCAGGAACACGCTCAGATAATCACATATGTAAACACGACGCCGACAATGATAACGATGATCCTTGGACTGACGCCGGAGAACCCAAATAACCGCCTGCGCCTCTAGAATGCGAACAGGTTCTTTCCGAGTAAAACGCTCCGAACACAACGGGCGCCGCCGCAAATTTCTTGCAGGGTTAGCGGGCGCCCCAGAGAACTCCGGGGCACCCCAGGCCCGAAAGGGCATCTCGATCACCAAGTTCTAGGCCGCACATAGCACGAAGACGGGGGCGAGAGACCCAAAGCTCTTCTGGACGACGGAAACGCTGTCTCTCGTCACGACGACCACATCCCTTCGCAAAATCCAGATCCACACCAGCTGACACGACCCCCATCCCAATCAAGCAGGCGTCAATAGCTATCACCCGCCGGTCCCAGACAAGGCCCCAGAACGATCTGGCGAGCAAGAGGGGGGCCCGAAAGGCATCTCTTTTTGCAACGGACCCCCGCAGAGGAACATTCCGAACTCCGCCCAAACGAGCAAACTGGTAGCAAGTTAGCAAGACATCAGCACTGACAGCGTAGGCCTCCTCGGCGCGAAGGCAAAGGCGAGGTGCCCGAAGAGCTTCCCTATACCCTTCTGACTGAAAGCTCTGCGGGCCAGCGCCCAACTGACACATGACACGCCAATCCAAGCGCCAGAATCTTCTTAGCGGCGCGGGCCGCTGAGCGGACCCCGTCAAGCATTACTCCACGGTTGACACTCTGCGGGTCGGCCTTCTCGTTGTCGTGCGTGCTGAGGCCCGC